GTGATAAAGCATGTCGTGTACTTGATGAGGATGAAAAAGTAGAAGCCATGGAATCTGTGGAACTTAAGGTATTGCAAGATTCCATACTGTGTAATTCTGTTTGAGGCGACCACACCTCTTCCGCTTGGAGTAATATAAAAGTTTCGCCAGAGCAAAATTTCAAAACATCATTATCATCCACATTTGTACCGTCCTTTTCCATAACAAGAGTAAAACCATTAATCCCAAGCTTGCTGCTACTTTTCGTAATTAGTTCAGATAACATGTTATCAGATTCATTAATAATTAATGAGACTTTTTGTTTTCTATTGGCTAACCAAACTTTGAACAAGTAAGACATCTAAAACACAAAACATATATGCATATATCTTTTTATTATGTATAAAATTTTAATTTTTTTTATATATTCTTTATATATTTTGTAAGTATTATATATTTCATATTTTTTATGTTTTTTATGTTATATGATTTATTATTCAAATTTTTGTATTATTTATATTATTTATGTTTATTATTTATATTGTATATTTTATTTACATATTATTTAATATATTATATATAAAAAATATATATTACACATAATATTAAAAATAATACTAAACGATAAATGTTATATATACTTACATAATATCAAAGATCAAGAGGCGCATATTTGAAGATATAAACGGCAATGGAATTTATAGAAGTTTCAAGAATAGGATGTGGTGCTAATAAAGCACAATATGGAAATAAAGAGATTTTATCGATTCTATGTTCTTCATTTTTAACTTCGAACTGTTCATATATTCCAAAATCAGAATTATATACTACTTTTATTGTGGTACCCACAAAATATACATTTGTGTAAGAATTATTTATTAAACAATATTTGATTTTGCATATGATAAAGTGATCATAACAATCCTTTCCTACACAAATACACGTATTTGTTTGATATGTAATGCCTTTGAAAGTAATTTTTGAAGCTATATACTTAAAATTTTCATTCCTTTTATCATGAAAGTAATCCACTATAACGGAGGAAATATTGTTACTAAAATTTTCCGGAATATATTCTTCGGCATTATCTGCTATTACCGAAGAAGAGTACGTATTTTCTGGAAGTTGACTTTGTAACAATTGATGTTTGTATGATAACAATTTTGTTACATTCTTATAATTTTGCGAATGCTTTATAATATTTTTGAAATATCTGTGTTTGCTTTCAAATCGTAAAGTCCACAAATGTTTAAGCGGACCAAAAGATATAATTAAAGAAGGATAGTGAGAAATATAATGATGCTTTGGTCTTAATTTTATGTTTGGAAAACATTTTAATCTTAGCAATAAATATTCATTGATTTTTTCTTGCAATAGTGCAACTTGACCAAAGGATAATGTACAAGCAAAAATCAAAGAACAAATTTCTCTAATACGCAGTATTAATAACCAAACATCATTTTCAATATTTTTAATTGAATCAAAGACAGCTAAAGGAAGTATCAATAATAATTTTTTTATATCACTTGCAGTACCTGCAATTTTACACGAATGTTTTATTAATGGAATATTGTTGAATTTATTTTCATTTATAAATTTAATTTTTTGCAATCGAGAATTTAAGAACCCATAACTAAACCATCCTTCTTTAACAAAATATTTAATACAATATATAAGATCATAAGGAATGATACCTTCTAAAAGATCATGAGCTATACAGGGTGGTAACCCTGGATTGCATACATGAAAATAATTGAGTTTATTCAAAGGTGAATCTTGCTTTATGCCTTTTATCATGTTCATAGTTTCTTCCGCTTGTTTTACACATAAATTATAATTTTCTGGATTTCTATTAACATTTTTACATACACATGTTAATTGTAATTGATTTCTAGTTATATCACAAAATCGACAAAAATATTCTGAGGAATGAAAATTTTGTGTAAAACCACCTATTTGATGACTTCCTAAATTGTCGCCTAACATAGCTACTACAGTACCAAAAAAATGAATTGGCTCATTTGCAACAGAAATAACTATTCCATTTTCTTCTAAATTTCGTAAAT